TCCACTCCAAGTTCTCTGCTGTCCTCTGGCCAGCTTTGCCTCTCATTTGTCAATGTTATTATTGAATTTTCAAATGCCAGTAGTGCACATAAATCAATGGCTGGCTTCTCCCCAGTGGCATATCCCTGCCACATGTGGTCATTCATTTTTTTTAATAAGTCCTCCTCTCCTTTCACCCATTTATAAAAATGCATCTTGTTCGCCTGCTGCCGTCCATCATTCGGTGAGTCCAGCTATTTGTTGCCCCTGAGTGCTTATTCATCAACGTTTTCAAAAGCAAAATCACTCTTCGCCTCCTGCTCTTATTGTGCCATCAATCTCGACTGGGGATCAATAAACCTCACTTTTGCAATTTTTCCCCCCATCGTCCTGTACGAGCTTTCCCAAAGTCTAGCCTTTGTATTTACATTTTTAACTGATCATCAGAGGCAGGACAATGACAGAGCCGAGGAGCGGGATGCTTTCATTTGCTCCCAGTGTGGCAATAACTTGCCCCGCATCACTCATCTCACTCGGGGACCCCGAGAATTGAATACTCATCTCTTTCCCTCTCTGCTCTGGCCCCAGGAGTTGTAAATGGGGAGAAGATGACCCCTGGCCACACAGTTCTTGCAGACATTAGCCCTGGGGACTAGAACTGGGTGAATATTTTTCTTCTAAACATAATTTAAATGAAAAATAGCTTTTCACCGAGAACTGAAATTTCCATCGAAAAGTCATTTTTATTTTTTTTTTTGTTTCTCAATAATGGCAAAAAAAACTAAAACTTTTTTTTTAAAAAAAAAAAAAAAAAGCTTCCCTTTCTTCCTTTTTCAAGTATACACTTAAAAGCATGACATTTATTTTCTGAGACTGTTTCCAGGAAAACAGACTATTTTATTTTTTGACCAGAAATATTTTCCAAAGCTGAATATTTTCACATGACTTTTGAAAAAGCTAAATGTCGCAGTTATCAGTTTTATCTTTTCACTGAAATTCCAAAAAACCCTACCTCTGAAGCTGAAAACACTTCCAGAGAACTGATCAGCTTCAAAATTTTCCAAGCAGTCCTATGCAAATACCAGGACTTTCTGACTTGCTGTAAGCATAACAAGATGCTCCAGTCTCTTGACTGTCTCTGTGGCCTTACACCGTGCCCTCTCCAGTAGCTCCGTGCCTCTTGTACTGGGGAGCCCAGAACTGGACCCAGTACTCTCCAGGCCTGGCCTCGTTAACCCAACCCTAATGAGGGAAGTGCCTGTCCCAAAGTTTTCCGATGGCAGAACCTGAGTAAAGGAGCGAGGCAGCAGATGGAAGCATGTGCCAAGGCAATAAATCCAGGCCACAATCACTAACATTTTGTGGTTTGACACTTAATTGATTAACTAATTTGAGGCAACAAGATTTAGTGTAGCTGTAGATTAGTGTCGAAGGGATAATTACGGCTAAGCTCCCATTTCCAAACAGCGTGTCAGCTGCAGTTTTGAGCCGGCAGGACCAGCGTTAAGGCACTTGCCTCGCAGCTGATAGCAAAGGTTCCTGGAAGAGGTCCTCTACGGCTCAGCACCCGGGGATTGCAATGGAAAGGTCAGGCACTGACTTATCAGCATAGACAAAATCCCTTCCTATAATGTATGTGTTTATTCTCAAATTAAATATATTAATGTATTATTTGTTCTTAAAATGTCATTCAATAGATAGTAGGCTTAGGTTTCCTGGCAGACCTTTGAAGCTTAAAGAGTAATGTAATAATAGTACATTAATCCATAAGCTACACAGTCTTCTCCCAGCAGACCCCAAACTCCAGAACTGGCTCTGAAGCACTGAATTTGCTGCATCTGTTTCTAGGAATTTCTGTCTAACAATAGTGGGCTTGTTGGAGTCTGCTCTGCCCATTCCAGCATGAAATGCTGCTTTTCTCCCACCCATCTGTTCGGCATTAACATTTGGGCACCTGTAAATGGTGTTTCTGGGGGCAAAGGCAGGTGTCCATTCCTCTAATGATGCACATCTCTGTTCTGCTAAACCAGGGGTGGGCTTGAGGCACCAAATCCTGTTCTCTGCGTCCCTGCTGAGAGCAGGTCTTCGGAGCCAAAGTTTAGTTTGGGCCAAGCCCCAGTTTAAGCTAGAGGAAATGCTACATTTGGACTTGTCCCCAGGCTGAATTCTTGGCACAAGCAAATCATCTCTTGGAAAAAAAAAAAAAAAGTCTTGAAAGAATGTCTCCATCTTTTTCTCCAAATCATCCATCCATCTATCTGTTTGTCTGTCTAGAGATGATAGCTTGATAGCTATCTAAATGCCAAACCTGATGTTTTGGAGAGCTTGGAATCCATCTCTGAACTGCTCTGATTTTAATTCTGCAAGTCTTAATACTTGATTGACAAATACAGCTAAACAATCCATCACAGTTGCCTTATCTAAAAAATGTAACCTTTTTTTCTGTTTATGGAACACGCACATGTGGAACATGTTTTTCTTTTACTGTCTATTTATTCCAGTTTATTCAGCGCGCTTTTATTTTTCATTTGGTGCTGGGTTTGCTGGCTCTTCCCGCCTTCGCATAACACACCTTTCACCTCTGATTCCTGGAAAAGATGGCTTGCTTGCAAACAATCTGTGACTGTGTGTGAAAGTAGGTTTGAGAAAAGAGATCTTGGAAGCGTCCCAGCTGAGGGAAGGCTGCGCTTTCTGCCGTATCTGCCTGGGCGCCGGAGACCGCGCTGCGGCACCAGGCATCGTCCTTCGGCGTCTGCCTTCAGCCTTGGCACGAGGGATGGAGAAAGGGAGCGCTCACACCAGTGCCCTCGGGAAGGTTTGCAGTGGTTTGTGTTTACGCCGCGTGGACGAGCTGGGTTTGGTCTGCAACTGGAGCTTCTAGGTGCTGCCAACATGACGGCAATAATTACTGTGCTCCTCTTGGAGCCTTCTGAGATAGACGTGAATGCTCGCTCGTTTCAGGCAACTGTTGGTGAGCTGCCAACAGTGCAAGAATACCCGACAAAAATTGATGTTGAGATATCTGCACCACCGTGGATGCTATCACTAGCAGTGTTGGCATTTAGTAAATTATAGGGATTGCTCTAATGATAGTAAAGTAATGTTTGTTAACTGCTAGGGCAAATTAACAGCTTTTGCAATTTTGGTTTTGGGGAGAAGCTTAGCAGGCTGATGATGCTGAAAGAGTTAATGGCACGGCGGGGAGCTGAGCTGGGAAGGATCCGTGCAATTTTGCTCGGCTGCAGCCCTGTTCGCATCCCAACCCCACCCAAAGCAAGCTCCTCTGCTCTTCGGAGAAGAGCGTCAACTCTGCTTGCAAATGGCAGATACGAAAATAAATAACTGCATAAGTGAGCGAGTTTGGCAGGAGGGAAATTCCTCCCCCCTCGGCTTCCCAGAAGTTCCCTTTGCTTCCCACCCTGAAGGCGAGGCCGAGCAGCTCCTCGGCCCCAGGGGGCAGGAGACCAACACAGCCCCCCTGGGGCAGGGGCACGGTCCCCGAGAGGCGGGGAGGATTTCCTGGGGTAACCCTGGCTCACGGAGCCATAAAGGTCACCGAGAGAACATGCTGGGATCCTTCTCTTCAGCTCTTGTAATGGTATTAGCAATGACTGTTTCTTACTCAATCATACTCCCAAAGGATTTTCAATAAACTTTTTATGTGCCATAACTGTTACATTAAATAAAGCTGAAAGTATTGAGTAAACTGACTGTAAATCACTTTAGATGCCTTGGAATTACATTAAGTGTGAGAATTATGGATCTTTTGCTGCTCACAGAAACAGAGAGACGACAGAGCCAGAAATTTTTATGCTGCCAAACCTTCTGAAGGTTTTTTTAATTATTTCTTTACGCCATACAACAGGCTTCTCCTTCTGTAATCGGCTCCCTCAGCGCCGCGTTGGGACCAAGCACCATCCCGGCGGTGTAGGACCCCGTGGTGCCTGTGGATCCTTCCCCTTCCTACCAAGCTGGGTCGGTCCTCAGCCTGAAAGTTGTAATTAAATGCCAGGGTAGGGATAACGTTAGCAGAGTTGAGCAGGCTGCAGGGTTTTATTGCATCAAGAGTGATTTTCCATCGGTAGCCTGACAGACGAGACTTCATCAATACAAATACATATTTTGATATAAATAAAAGCTGAGGAAAGATCTCCTGTCTCTACTCTTTAGGCACCCCAGAGTTAGCTTAAACGTATGTTATATTTAATACCCAACGGAGAGACAATTTAATACAAGCAGCCACGAGTGCCTGGTGCTGCAGCATGGATGAATTTCGCCTTTCCCTGCGTTTTGACCCTCACACCAAGTCCCACTCAGCGTCCAGCCCAGGAGCAAAACTCTCCCTTGCTGTGGCCGCACGACGCTTGACAGACACAACCTGCGGGAGGCACAGGACCTCGGTGTGGGCTGATTTTGCTTTTCTGTGTTATCACGAAGCAGAAGCCCAGCTCTAGGGGGAAGCGAGGCGAGCAGAGCCTGGCTGCAGCCCCGCTCGGTGCCGTGCAGGGCGGCTCCGTGCTCCACGCAGAAGCGTGGCAAATCCCAGGCTCCTGCCCGCCAACATCCTGGTGAGGAAATAGTTAGGAGAAGGCTCCCGGTGGGAAAACCTTCTGTTTTGCTGATCTTGTAAATCAGCTGAATTCAGCATGTCACCAGCACGTCTTACAACCCACAAGACAATGCCCAGATTTCTGTAGTGCAGAAGCATATTAACCTTTGTGTACTCTTGCCGGGTTTCGACAAAAGATGTCTGTTAAGAACTGCAGGGCTCATTGTAATTGCTTGCCATGTGGGTAAATGATCCGGAGCTGTGTGAAGATAAGAAGAAATTGCTAAAGGCAAATCACCTGGGTTTTATTATGCTTGCCCTAAAAATAATTAGCATGGCCTATGAAATCATACTGTGAGGGGATTTGTTTTAGCAGGAAACTGTAACCTATATATTGTAGCTTGCTTTCTAGAGAGCTGCTCTTTGTAGTTGTGTTGATGTGTCTTTTTCTTTATTTTCTTTTTAACTACAGTGAGAGACAAATGAACGAGCTCGTATTGCTCTGAATAGCAACAAGGTGACTGGTTGCCAGCCTGTAAAATCTGGTATCGTCCCTGCTGGAGCCAGAGCTTGACCTTAAGAAAATTCCTGCCAGTTTCTCCGATGGGAGCGTGTCCCTGTGCTGCTGCAGAAGCCTGTCTGCCACAGGTAACACTTACTTTGGATTACGGGTTGTGTGTTTGCCACCGGGCATAAAAATTCACCACCTCTTCTGAGATGAAACAGCTTTGCATGGGAGCAAAATAATGTTTTTTTCCATTTGCTGCATCTATCTGGGACCACAAAAATATCAAGGTCACAACAGAAAGCGGGAAGTAAAATAGCAACTGCATATAAAATTACAGGCTTGCTGTTTTTAGTGCTAGCTACCCACAATTTGGTGTGAATTGCAGGTGATCAGAACCTCTGAAAAGCATTTGTGCACATACGGTGTTAGCAACCCCAAGCACTAAAAGCCCTGAGTCAGCTGTCTTAAAATCATGTGTTTTGGCTTAAATAATGAGGTACTGCAGAAATAGTAAACATGGGGCTGTGTTTGCTTGAAGCCATTAGGGATTTTCGAGCTTTGTTCCACTAGCCTGGTGTCTGTGACAGTTTTGAGTTCTCCTTTACCTGTGCATGTTGCAGGCGAGAGCTTAGGGGTGCCCAAGGCTCTCCCTGCAGTCAGAGCAGGGACAGGGGGTCCTCTGTGGCCCCCTGTGGGTCCCTTTTGTCCCCCTCCAGAACAAAAATCTCTGCCACCATGAGCAGCACGTGGCTGAGCAGCACCTGCCCCTGCTTCAGCATCCGATCTGGGTGGTGTCTCCCCCAGCACCGTATGTTCAGTGCTCAGCAACCTCAATCTGCACAAAGCCAGTACAAAATCCTCTGCTGGAACGGTGCATGGGGTTTGGTGAGTGGCTCGGGGTTAACACCACCCTGCCTGACTTCTAACCCCTCAATTCCCCACCTTCTTGGGCTTGAGGAAACAGTGCTGGAGAGAAACTGCATTTTCTAGTGCTTGCTGTAGTCCTGGGAGGTTATTTTTCATGGTATAGCTGATAATTTATGTAGCTCTACTACATGTTTTCTCTATGGAGAAGATGAAAGGAAGAAGGGTTCACTGCCTTAGAACAGATAATTCACAAATGTTCTGGAATATTCCTTTTATTGACATGAATCTGGTGCATCTTTCGTGTGGATTTCAGTAGCTCTCCCAGCCAAAAAGTAAGCGTGCTCGGAGCATCTCTCAGGTCCTGGGGGCTGTGACTATTTCTTTGTGGTGGCTGTGCAGAGATGTTAATGCTGGTCTTCTCCTGGGGTAATGCATTTGAAGGTTGGATAGTTCACAGTTGAAATACTGTTCCTCTCGTGATTCTTCGAAGCATTTAAGGTGAAGGAAACAAACAAACACATTGACTTGTTCCTTCAGTGGCTCTCCACAACAGCAGTTAGTGGTTTCTACTTTGGGTTGTTAATAGCACTTTGCAAAGTGACAACCAGTTTTGCTTTGTGTTATTTACTTTTCTTGTGGCAGCGAGTACCCAGCTGGCTGTCAGTCAACGTGAAGTCTCTGGGTAAAATTCCTCCTGTACCAAAAGCAAACAGGGTTTCCACTCGGAGGGCTAAAGTGGGGCTCGAGTGGTGCCTAAGCCCCGTGTTAATCCAACCCAGCGTCAGTGAGGGCTGGGTGTTGCGCTGACCTCACTGTAAAATGACTTGTGATGAGCACGGTGTGCTTCTCTGACAGCCCTTGATGTGAAGGGGTATAAATCCAACTGCTTCATCACTTGCTGGGAGCATTAATATGCCTTTATTTATTACCTCTGGATTTGGATGGGCTATGTGCTGTTCTGTCAGCAGCCAGCCTCCCGAGGGAGCTGGTAGGGTCTGGTGGCTCCCGGCCATGGGGAAGTGTTGGTGGGCAGCACTGGGATTTTGGCATCCCTTCCCTGGGGCCCTTGTCAGAAGGGCAGCACCCTGCTGTGACAATGGGACTCCAAACAGCACGATTTCAGGTGTTTTTTTTCTGAGGAGGGTCAGAGATTTGTAGCTTTGTGCTAGCTGTGATCTGGTTACCTATGCAGGCTGCATAGATGTGGTGTGAGCTACTGGGTGCTGAGGGCTTTGTGATACATGGCCATCTGTGACGAGCTTTGTGAGTTCTCTCTGAATTTCCATCCTGACCCCCCTGCATCTGTTCCTCCCCCCAGCCTGCCCTGGGTGTGGATCAGTGCTGAATGAGGGGCTCTGCTGGGCTCCCTCCCCTACTGGACCAGTACCAGACTCTGCAGCACGTCTGGGAACAATCTGCAAACTCACTGACAGCAGGCTTGAGAACGGGTTAAGGAAAGGAAACTGAATCCATCATCTCCTCTCCAAACCAAAGTCAAACCATATTGATTTGGGCATTGTTCATTGTATGTTTAATTTGCAGTTGAACTGAAGCTGTTCTCAGCCTGCAGCAACCAGCAAGCATACTGCCCTTTTTTTAAGGCTACTTCTTCTCACTGGGGCTGTTTCCTATGTAGTGAGCATGAGAGTCTTTACCTGAGTTTAAAAAAATCCATCTTATACAGAAAGACCCCCACTGCCGACAGCTTCTTCCTAGGAACCCTTCTGTATTTGCTTTGTCCGGCCGCTTTCTGAGTTTCCTTTTAAAGGTCACGGAGAGCCATAAAATCTTTTTTTCCCATTATTGCACACTTTAAAACAATAGATTCCTTTCCCCAGTCAATTGGACTGGGTTTATTAGACGAAGAGGTGAATTTCTGTAGCAATTAGTCATTACAACATTATTCACTCGAAAAATAGAAATATGCTACTCTATAGTCTGGATTGCATTTAAAACACAAAAAGCCTAATGAATGTGCAGGGAGGGGAAAGCAAGCAGCAGCCTGTGAGGCATGAGCCCAGGCTGTTGTTTTACATTTGACTTGTTCCAGGGGAACCTGAAATAATGCCTCTGCCTAGGTTTAGGGCAGGGGAACATGCTGTCCTCTGCACATCTTGTGGGGTAGCTGAGACTGCACCAAGCACCTGAAATGGCATTTTAAGGTCAAATCACCACCTTTTAGTCCTTACAAAATCAGGCCAGAAACTCTCAAGGGGCCAGGCTTCCCTGAAGGTCACTGATGTGCATGGGAAGGTAGTGAAGGAAGGATCTCAGTAGTGAGAGCACCCGGTTTGCCCACCTTGCTGCTCAAGGTAAGCTTCACAGCCTATTAAGGACCAGCAAATTAGAATAAAACTTGGATTCAATCTAGATCCAAACCCCCTAGTTCAGGCTCATCACTACAATAACAGAAAAAAAAATAAATAAAGCTCCTCTGAGCTTCTAACCATCAGATTTCAGGCGTTTTGCAGTGGGAGCTCAGTAACATGACTCTTTTTGTTGGTGGGGTAAGGAACTTGCACAACTGAGCATCCCCTCTGTGCGGTGCCAGCCCCTGTGCCATTTGTGGCTCCGCACAGCTGGATCTCTGGTGAGCTGCCACCGCATGGTGAGCAAGTACATGGTGCTGCCAGCTGGAGTCAGCTCTGTTATAAAGCTGAGGAGTTTTGGAGATGTGATTTCCAATGTGGGGGTAGGAGGATTGACTGGGAGCTGGTCGGCTTCCTCTGACACAGGTCCCCCTGCACTATTCAATGCCTTGCCAAGCTCCAAAGTCTCCGAAACAAAGCTAGCTTAGAAACTAGCCAGGGAATCCCTTTCCTTGCTGATTGTGTATTTTTATTTTTTTTCTGCAGTAAAAAAACTGTAAGAAAGGCATTAAATTATATAAACCACAATAGTGCTCAGTCCTTATAGCCCTCAGTGACTTGGAGGCACTAAAGACAATGTGATGTAGCTGTGTAGTAGTTTCCACGCTCTGGATTTGTATTATTAAATACCAGAATAAATAGTCATTTCAAACCCACATCATTTGTCAGCTCTTGAGTTATGGCTGCTTTGGTAACTTAGACACCCTCTCCTTCTGCCAAGTTCCCATGCTCTTTGTTTTGAATATGTATAATTTTATGTGTTTGGACTTAAATAACTTCTGCTGTTTCTCCCAGATCCCTCCTGTGCTAGAACCTGCCAGACCCCTCCTGGGGAGGAACAAAGGCAGAGGCACTTCCAAGCAGGATGAAAAGGAAGGGGGCGGGGGGGCTGTGTCCTTGAGAAACGCATTGTTCATGATTTTTTTTAAAGGAATTGGAAAGTCATGCAGAAATTGAATCGAGTTTGCTGTTAACTTTGGTCATGGATCTTAGGAATGTGTCTCTTTCCCATGAAATCCCAGTGGCTTTCTGCAGTTTAGCACCCACGGGCCATGTTTACAGGGCCGTTACGGACATGCGAGGTGACTGGATGCTGGAGGGCTGTTCCAAAACTCCTACATGTGATGTGTGTCTGATTTCCATTTAAAAACAGTTCGTGATGGGTTTCCCCTGTCACCTAGATGCTTTTTAAAAAGCCTTATGGACTTGTAGAGGGGTTTTTAAGTATTGAATACCAGTGTTGACTTAGACCTGTTTTGCATGCACAAGTTTTGGCAACCTCACTTGAACAAGTTTGTTGTATGAGTGGATGCAGGGAAGTCCAGAGAGATTTTAGCCCTCTGTCAGTGCCTGAGGTCTGCAGGGTCTCCAGGAATCTCTGCTGGATGCTGAACGAGTGTGAGCCAGCAGAGCTCAGTAGGCTCCTGGAGCTGTGCTTTTATACCAGGACCAAGCAGATGAGCTGTTTGGCCCCCTCTTTACAGCTGGTAAAGGTAAGTACAGGCAGAGGCAGGATTAGGGACAGCCCCCAGGTCACCAAGGTGCTGCCCTGTGTGCCAGCTGCCCCCTTTCACCTTGCTGTGGGTGAGGAGGATGATGGCTCATCCGTTCTGAGGGTGCTTTCTGTGCAGCCATAAAGTCCCTGCCCTATAGCCCTGCTTTGCTGAGACCAGTGCTGAAAAAGCTGGGCGATGAGGGATTTCCCTGACCCCGTCTGAGACTGGTGTGGTTTGTCTCACCAGTGGAGTGAGTTTGGCATCTCTTAACTAGCATTCATCAGCTCCTGCACACATGACGGAAAGGTCATGGGCACATGGGGATAACGAGGGACCTTGTGAATTAGGAGTAAGAAATAGCAGCGTTTAGGGCTGGCTGGAGACTTAAATATTTCAAAATCAGACTCG